CCTGCACCCCCGCCTGCCTGCCCCCCTCACATCTGCCACCCCCAGGGTGCAGCCTTCCCTGCCGCAGCACGCCAAACCTCCACACCCCGCCTGCGTCGCCCGCCCACCCCTCTGCCCCGCCCACCCCTCTGCCCCGCCCACCCTCCGCAGGTGTACGACGGCAGCAAGGCGCGGTGGCGGGAGGGCGACCCGCCGCGCCCCGTCAACGCCTACGGCCGCACCAAGCTGGCGGCGGAGCGCGCGGTGGCGGCGGGCTGGCCCAACCACGCCATCCTGCGCAGCTCCATCATCTTTGGGCCCGAGCCGCCGGTGCCGGTGGGGCGCCCACTGTTCCTGCAGTTCATCGACGGAGCGCTGGCGGCGGGGGTGAGAGGGCGGGCCCGCCGGGGCTGCTGTTGCAGCGCTGCGGCGCTGGGGTGGGGGCAGGCGCCGGCAGCGGGCCTCTCCATGGCCTCCCAAACCCTGCCCTGAAGCCCTCGCTGCGCACGCATGCGCACGGACATCCACGCGCACACGCACACACCCCTGCCCGCCTGCTCTGCCCCGCTCCGCCCGCGCCCGGAAGCCCGTCGCGTGTCTCGCCGGCGACGCCCTCACGCGCATGCCCGCCTGCTGCACCTGCTGCGCCTGCCCCGCCTGCTGTGCCTACCCCCGCCCAGAAGCCCACCACCTTCTTCAACGACGAGTGGCGCTCGCCCATCCGCGTGCGAGACATCCTGCGTGTCTGCCAGACCCTCATCAACCGCCAGGACGAGCTGCAGCACAGGTGGGGGCAGTCAGAGCGAGTGAGACGGGCGGGCAGGTGGGCAGGGGAGCAGGCAGGCGGGCAGGCGGGCAGGCGGGCAGGCTTGCAGGCAGGCAGGCACGCGGCGGTCAGAGGCATGGCTGCCGTGCTGGGTGGGGAGCAGCGGTGGCGGCGCGGAGCTGAAAGCGCGTTTGCGGCCCCAGGCTGTGACCGCATGGCCAGTCCTGCAGGTGGTGTGGGCCACCCACCAACATACACACCACGCCACTCCACTCGCATGCACCACCACCACCACCACCGCCAGCAGGCACTCACCATAACCCTAAATCGGCACTCACCACTCGCCTGCTTTCCTGGCCGGACAGCACTGACACCCACCCGCCGCACCTCACAGGCTCTTCAACATGGGAGGCCCCGACCGCCTGAGCCGAGCAGACATGGCGGCAGCGGTGGCGGCAGCCTGCGGCTACGACCCAGCGCTCATCCTGGCAGCCCCGGCAGCCTCGGTGCGCCTACCTGTTGTACTGCCCGTACTGCATGTATTGCTTGTACAGCATGGTATACACCCACAAGGAGCAAGTGGTGGAACCGCTGCGGCTGGACAAGGGCTGTACTGTGGGCTGAGCGTGCTGGCGCCGGCTCCCGTCGTTATGTGCCATTTGTGCAACTTGCCAGTTGCTGCCTGCCTGCCTGCCTGCCTGCCTGCCTCCCTGGCTCCCTGCATCGAGCGCCCACCTGCCTCCCTGCCCGTGCTGCCGCCGCCGCTGCAGGTGCCGCGCCCCGCACCCAGCCCTGCCGACATTTCAATGGACAGCAGCCGGCTGGAGGCGGCGGTGGGCATGCAGGCACGTGCCCCGCTGCACCTGCTGCAGCCCCCAGGCAGCACCAGCGCCCCCTGCTGCCGCTCAAGGGCGTGTGCTGCGCCTGCCGGGGAGTGCCTGCGCCTGGCAGCTGGCTGGCTGTAGGGAGTTTGGCCCGGGCTCCCGGCACCAACAGGAGCACAGCCAGCCGACACATCTGCCCCTGCGCCCTGCGCCTGCCCCCCGTGTGCGCAGATGACGCCTTTTGAGGCGGCCATCCGGCACATCCTGGGGGAGCACCAGCACCCAGACGACCGCCACCACTTCCCCGGCCAGCACGAGCACCCACACCCGCCCGCCAGCCGCCACCGCTGATGCCTGGGGCTGGGGGGCAGGTGGTGCCAGCGGTCGAGGCGCCACCAAACACCCTGCCCCAGCACCGGATGGGGGTTCTCTGCAACCCCAACTCAGCAGCCTTGGTCGTCCGGGCCGCCCATCTTTCCTGCCTGCCTGCCTGTCGACGTGCATTGCCGTGTCATGCCGTGCACGCTGCACAGTACAATGCGCCTGCCTGGCACAACCTGTACCCACCTACACCCAGCCAGCGCCCTGCTGCTTCGGACTCCGTTGCCCTGCCTTGTCTGCTCTGCAGCTCTTCCCCAATGTCTCAGTGCAGCCATTGCAACAAAATGAACCGGACCAGAATGGTATCAAGGGATGAGATGGGCTGCTAATTGAGGCTTGGGCTGGCAAGAGTGCCGCTGCCGCCCTGCAGCCGCCTGCCGCAGCTCAGGCGTCAGCGCCGGCGCCAGCCGCTCGTCGATCTCTTGCCTCGCCGCCTGCTGCGCCCACTCCCACACAGGCCCAGTGCCGGCTGGGTGCGCCGCCACAAACTCCGTCCACCACGCCACAACTTCATCCCATTCCTTGTGCCTGCTGGCAGGAGTGCTGCCTGCTGCTTTCAGCTCGCTGTTGTGCACCGCCCTCAAAAAGCCATCTACGCTCCGGTTGAGTGCAGACAGGGTCAAGGGGCGCTCGGTGTCGCCCTCCTGCTGCTCTCCCTCGGTCAGCGCTGCTTGCTGCCCCTCAGCTGCTGCCCAGCCTGACAGCCGGTGCAGCTGGCCGCGGTGCTCCACATACTGCACCCGCTGTGCCAGCCGCTTTACTTTGAGCACTGTCAAAAAGCTAGCATGCTGCTCGTACAGCTGCGCCGCCGACAGCCCCCAGTAGCGCTGCAGCAGCAGGCGCTGTGCCACAAAGTCGGGAGCGGCGTGGTTGCGGTGAAGCAGCTTGGGATCCTTGCAGAGCACAGCCACGGGGTCTGCCACGCCGCAAGCCTCCATGTAGTGCAGGTTGCAGCGCCACACGCTGGCATCGCAGCCGAGCGTTGATGGGGAGCGCTTTAGCATGCCAGCAGCACCGTCCTTGCCAAAGCCCTGCAGCATGCAGCATCAGGCCAGGCGATGAGGCGAGACGGGACTGACTGCAGGTGGTACAGAAGCATGCTGGCATTCTTATGCATGGCAGGAGGCCCAGCACTGTGCAAGTACGAATACACGGCACTCGCACCTGCGCCAGCGCCGCCGCTCGCTCCCGCAGCGTGCCCAGGTTGCTGGTCAGCCAGCCGGGCGCCTTGGATGCCAGCTCCAGCATCTCGTCTGCGGCCAGCCCCAGCTCATCTCGCAGCAAAACCATCACGTCTTTCACCCGCCCTGCTGCATCTGCCTGACAAAGTAACTGCGGCTGCGTCCATGCCAGCTTGGCAA